TCCCTGCAGCCTGGTGAGGCTGGGCTTCCCAGGCTAAAACAAAGACCAGTTCATGCATGCAGTTCTTTGTCGTTTAATTGCTGTATCAAGTATGACCAGCAAGCTCTATGGGGCTGTAGGGTTTGTGTCCTCCACCCTGCCATGCACACACTGTGAGTTAGAATCACTGATAGAAGGGGCTGGGTAGTAAAGCTCAGTGGGGATCCCTAAATCTAGAGATGCAGAGGCACAAGCCTTCGCAAGAACAAAGATTAGCAGGCAGCAGTGCTTATCAGCACAGCCACACAGTGGGAGACAAAACATTAAGAGTTAAGCCAATGTGCTAAAGTTAAAAAAATTTATTTTCTGTTCAGCCACTCCAACATACTTTGCAACTGTGGGCTACTCTACTTTAGAGACTGATGCTTCTCTTCATAAATACTGTTTTGTGGAAGCTGCCTGTCTCCACAAGTGATGGAAAGTAAACCATGCATGAAGATGAGATAACAGCCAAAATTAAGTATACACTGGTAAGACCAACTTTGAGCTGTATCATTAGATACCAAGTAAGATTCTAGTCCAATTAGTGTCAAGTTTTCTCTTTTCCAATATAATTTATGGCTTGGCTAACTGTATAAAAGCATATAAATCTAAAGTTGAAGTCTTAGCCTCAGTGCTTTCTCCAAACATATATGCTCAACAACAGCAAATGCTTTATCTAAATTTATGTTTCAGAGGCTGCTTTGATGATTTTAAGAGCCACTCTATTTCTGACTTAATCTAAAATTGCCTAATGATGATGGTAAGCCGTTCCATTGCTTTAGAGAATCATCCTAAAACCTGAGGTACTGATCTGGATTAGAGAGGAATTCATGCCCAAGGTATCTACCAAAGGATCCAAGGCCAGGAAGGTTTACTAATCATTAGTTGCAGTGGCTATTTAGAAGTTGGTAACATGGATCTGAATTGTCTCTTCCAAAGTATTTTGATGTGTCAAGGGAATGAAAGAGGAGGAGAAAAGGGATTCTTTGTTAGTTCTACCATCTCTTTTGCCTGAACTAGACAGCACAAGTAGAGATTTGGAAGGGGAGAAAATGTGTTTTAAAATTTCTGGTTTAGGATTATGCAGTAAGTATGTGCTTTGTTAGAGTTCCAAATGTCTGCCATTCACAGTTTCTACAAACTTCATGCTCAGTTGTCAAAACTTATGCAAAACTGTGAAGGCACAGTCTTTGTTGTCACCCCTTTTTCACAGCTGCCAGACGTGGATCTCTTTGTGGGCTGTTAGAGGGGAAACAAGTGCAAGTACAGCTTTTTTCCTCTCTGTAAGAGAAAAGGTTCCTCACTGACTAACAGGATTTCTCAGTCTGCAGAAAATCCACGGTCTCTTTTGAATGAGAAGGAAGGGTCATGCAAATAAATCACGTAGGCAAAAAACAAATTAGCATATGGTGGCACAAAGCAATGAGTGGTTTTGTCAAGAGTGCAATCTGGTATAACACACATTTCACACCTTTCTGTGCTGATCAGCCTGTCACTTGGTGACCAAAGAGTATACAATCCTTTTGAAGCCAAAGGAGAATTACCCAAGGTTTGATCTGTGTTGAAGTTATAATTTTTTTCCACTGGGATTCTAGATACAGAAAGAAAATATTTCTAGCCACTTAATTAGTAGGAGGCCTAATTTTTTTTCAGTTAAGAATAATGAGAAATGCGTTGTTTCCATATAATCAATTATTTACTAGAAGATTTTGGGCTTTTTCAAACCCTGTTTTATATTTATAAATGCATCAGTTTAATACATAATTGTCAAAGGAACAGAACGGTGCCTTGTAATTTATTATCATGTACGGGCTACTAAAAATTTAGAACAGAGATTAATTTGTTATTGCAGAGATTATGTAAGGGCATGACCCATGTCCTGTTGATGAAAATATTAGCACTTCATAGGCTTCAGGGTATCAGAAGGGGATTTGGAGGTTGCTGATAAGAATTGGGAAAAATCAGCATTACAATCTGAAAGCAGTCATGCAGGACAACTCAAGGTTGTGCGTACAGACACATTTTGGTGAGCAAGGCAGCAGGGAAGTTGCTCGAATCTTTGAATTAGGAGCGTCAATTAGGGAAAAAGAACCCCTTTTGTTTGACAAAGCAGTTTTATACCTTTTTGGTTAAGAAGACTTACACAGCCTCTCTTTCCAGTTCAAGACAAGGCATTTTTACATGGCTGGTGATTTCAGCGTGTGGGGAGAGTCAGGGCAGCCCCACACGGCTCTGCTCAAAAGCAAAAGCTGGAGCAGTGGGTGCAGGATGAGGCAGAACATGAGAACTCCCCTGAAGAGTAAACACTTTTCACTACCTGCCAATTATTTGTAGCCCAAGGAAGCAGAGAAGTCATTTCAGTAATTTCAACAGGTTTGAGATGAGGTCACATTTTGTAACTCAACCCTTTGAACTCCAAATACAATTTGATTCAAGTCAAGGAGCAGGGAAATACAGTTACTAGTGATTGCCCTACAACCTGTATGATGTCTCTGCTCTTATTGTTTCAGCTGAGGATGGATAATGCTCAAAGAAAATGAAAGTTTCTGTAAATCTTACATCTGTCTTCTCCATGTACATAAGTATTAGCAAGAAAAGTTATCTGTAGAATGATCTGCATTGTGCCTTTCTTTGCTCGCAAAAATCCAGCTAAATCTGCACTAGATGCAGTGGCACCCTTCCATTGCCTACAGCTTCAAAATTTGTTTATATTCTGTGGAATAACCATTCAGATGTTGTTCATTTTTAATGCCGTTTGATTACTTGTAATGAGCAATCATAGTAATAAAACAAGGATATATGAAAAAACCAATGTCCATGCTAACCATAAACGCAGGCTATATCGGCAGTATTTAGGTGAGAGCTTATTCCCATGTATTCGTTCCTGATACACTTGGATGCTTTTTACGATGAACAACACAACACTGTGGTCCAGGATGACAGACTGGCCTCCAGGTTTGGCCCTTTTCCAGAACAGGAATGAAATCTGCTGAGACACATCTGGCTTGTTTGTTAATAGAAGAGCTCCTAAATGAGGTTTCTGTTACCAGCACAAAGTGGAGGGGGAAGAGGGAAAAGAAAAAGAGGCACAGAGAAGGATGTGTGAACAGAGGACATGAAGGTGGCTTCAGGCTGTACCTGGTGTAGTTAATGGAAAGTTCAAGGCAAAGTGCTGGGAAAATTGATCTCAGAAGAAGTCTGTCTGTGTGATACAGAGCATAAGCTCAGCAGGATCATGATGGGAATAAAGGACCAAGTTTTCCAGCCGAGAAGGCAAGCCTAAGGGAATGTGAAAGAGGCTGTCAGCATCTAAGTCAGTCTAACGAGCATTTGCTTTCCAGAACAGGGCTTAGAAAGCCTGTCAGAGAGGGAGCCTGATGGCATTGGTCTCAAGTGGAAAACGCACAGCACTGCTGCACCCAAGAAAATTGACATCTCCTCTGACCACGGGATAATAAAGACAGTCTTTGCCACGGACCTACACCTTAAGAGAGGGTTGTCAGCACTTGGAGGACTGAAGCAGCACAGGTTAGTGCAGGCATTGGAGCTTCTCTCCATTGATTACCACTTAACAGAATTTCTTTTTTTCCAAAGACGGCACAAAATACCTTTGGTCTCATTGAGCATATTTATTTTGCTGAAAAGGAATTGGTGGTGAAGACTTCCTTCTCCAGTTTTCCTTGGCAACCCAGACACTCTACAAAAAACCAGCTTTTGCTAGACTTTTCTTCGTGCTTTTCTAGACATTCCCTTGTACAGGTAAAATTATGTACCCAGGCCATGGAGCATCCATTCTATACAAAATGTAATTTTGCAGCATTCTCCTTGGTGATGTGGTTTCCCTATGAAACATCTATTTCTATGAGGGTAGGAAGTGTTGCCAGACAGGCTCTCATATTGTTATTGCCTTCTCTGGATACTTTTTAGTAATTTCTTATGCGACTGATTAAAGAAAATTGTTGCTATTCAATGTAATACCGTAAAAAGGGGATATTACTTGTGATAGTGAGAAAGCCGCACTGGGCAATTTAAATTAGGCTGGAAGAGAAATCAATGCATATTTTCAACTTGGTCCCTCTGTTAGACATTAACTATCATTATTATTCATATTTAAACTGCAGAGACTTTTTTTTTTTTTTTCAGCCACTTAGCTGAGTGCACCTTAGTAGCCTCCATGACCTTACCTGCATAGCCTTGCCAGACAGATTGTGTGGGATGGAATTCGGTCACATCTCCTCTGGCAAGCGTGGTTGTATTGCTGGGAAAGGGGTCTTCACGAGCTCCTGTCCGCTCAGTGAAGTGCAGAAAACTACTTTTCTATTTGAGCTTTGGGGAGTTGTTTGAGTTTTTTGTGGCGTTCGTACAAGGGGGGCTGAAAGGGCAGATAAAATCCCCGTGCTGTCTTGTTTGGGATGGGCATGAAACAGCAGCAGCCTGACCTGCTGTGGGTGGCATGAGCCTCCCCTCACGCAGGAGGCCATGCTCCCCACAGCATCATCTCTTTCCTTTCCCTCTCAGCCTGATCCCAACGTGAGGAGAGGCTGGTTTGGGAGTTTCAGCACCTCCCTTGGGCATTTCGAGCCTGGGCTGGGGAGACACCAGTGAGGGGGTCCCAGCACTGTGAGGGGGGCAGCGATGTGAGGGGCAGCTCTGAGGGGGACCCAGTGCAGTGGGAGATTGGGGGGCCCAGCGCGGTGAGGGGGCAGGTGTGTGAGGGTCTGTGAGGGGGGCAGCTCTGAGGGGGCTCCCAGCGCTGTGAGGGGCAGTTGTGAAGGAGTCCCAGCGGTTCGAGGGGCGGCTCGCAGCGCTGTGAGGGCTTGTGAGAGAGCGGCGCTGCAGTGAGGGGCGGCGATGTGAGGGGCTCCCCGCGCGCTCCCTCCTCACGGAGGCCGCCTCGCGCCCGTCCCGCTCCACAGCGCCGGGACCGGGGCGGGCGGCGCCGCCGCTCCAAGTTTGTGTCCGGGCGGAGCCGCCGCCGCAGCCCGCGGGCTGCTCCCGGCCCTGCGCGCTGCTTCTCCGCCGCCGCACCGCGGGGTCCGGCCCGCCCGAGCGCCGGAGGGGCAGTGGTCCGGCCATGGCAGGGCGCGGGCGGCGGCGCTGAGGCGGCTGAGGGCAGGGTGTCGGACCCCGAGCGGGCGCCATGCGGTCCCTGAACATCACCCCGGAGCAGTTCGCGCAGCTCCTGCGGGACAACAACGTGACGCGGGAGCAGTTCATTGCTCTCTACGGGCTGCAGCCGCTGGTGTACATCCCGGAGCTGCCGGGGCGCACCAAGGTAGCCTTCGTCTTCATCTGCGTTCTCATCTTCGCCCTGGCGCTCTTCGGCAACTGCCTGGTGCTCTACGTGGTGACCCGCAGCAAAGCCATGAGGACCGTCACCAACATCTTCATCTGCTCCCTGGCGCTCAGCGACCTCTTCATCGCCTTCTTCTGCGTGCCCTTTACCATGCTGCAGAACATCTCCTCCAACTGGCTCGGCGGTGGGTGTCGGGGCCGGGCCGGGCTGTCCCGGGCCGGGCTGCGGGCAGGGGGCAGCGCCGCCGCCGGGACCTGCGTTCCCCCTTCTCTGAGGGACCCTTCCTGCCCTCAGTCAGGCACCTTTTCCCTTCCCGCCCCCTGCGAGGGTTACCCTCTCCCTCCCTCCCTCCCTCAGGTTATGTTCCAATCACCCAGTGTGCTTTCCTGCTTGTATTCCTTCAAAGTTGCGGTGTGCGTGTGGGAAGCGGTTCGTTGTGTGGAGCTGGCCAGGGAGCCTTGCCGTACTACTTTCTCTTTGGTTTGTATTTTTGTTTGGTTTTTATTTTTGTTTGGCTTTTGTTGTTTGGTTTTTTGTTTGTTGTTTGGTTTGTGTTGTTTTGTTTGGGTTTTTTTTCTTTTTTTTTTTCTCGCTTAGTAATGAAATCTGGCTGGCAAGTGAGGTATCAGTCTTCATGCCGCTTAAGTTCCTCTGACAGCTGTCAGCTCGGAGACAGTCCTCCTTAACCTTTTGTGAGAAAAAAGAATGTCCTTGAAGGAACAGGTGACTGAGGGAACGTGTAGAATTTATGCTGAAATAATGTATCCTTTCATTTTTTTTTAATTCATTTTTTTCTTGGGAGCTATGTTGTGTAGTCCTGTTGATGTGAAGAACCTTTTGGCAAAGTTTCCCTGATGCCTAGAAAGAAGGAATTTTTTCCCTTTTCTATGCATCCTAGTTCCAAAGTAGTAAGAAGCAAGCAGAGAAAGGTGCAGTAGAATTGTATATGGTACTTATTTTCCTGTTTTGTTTTTTTTTTTTTTTTAATTAAACAGAATTTGACAATTATAAGTAGAAAAATAAAAGGGGTGGTTTTGCAGCAAGTAACAGGCAACATCTTGTACAATCACAAATTAAAACATTTTTCAGACTATATCAGAATGATCAATGAAGATATTGATAAAGTGACGCATTGATATTTCAATTTCCAAGGCTTACTGTGTTTCTGTTGTTTGGAGACAAAAGTGAAGGTTTCAGAACGTGGAGATTTAATTCCGGAACTTCCCACAGACTACAATGCTGGGTGGGAATTGACAGGTCAGAGGAGACTTGGAGCACGTGTGAGAAATGGGCTTTATTACAGAAACTTCAGTGAGAAATGATGAATCCCAAGCTCCTGGGACTACTGATAGTAAGGACAACTGTGCTGTTTTCTTATGAGCTGTTTTGGGGAAGATAACCTTTGTGATTCTTCTCTCGCCTAAGGAAGGCTCTGATCTGGCAGCTTAACCAAATATCTGCTCAGAATCAACTGAAGCCTCTGTGTGGGCTGAATTACAGGAGATAGGGCATGGGCATGTGGAACAGTCTTTATTTACACTCTGTTACTGAGGGTGCCTGACAAACATCTAGAAGTAGAGAATGTAGAAGGTCTGACATAGTTACAAGAAATCTCTTCAGATATTCAGTGTTTGGACAGCTAAAGTACACTGTTCCCTGGGGATTACTGTGTTTTTTTGCCTGCCCTCTTTGCTTTGCTAGAGCATTTTAAGTACAAGTGAATCCATAGGTCTTTTGATCTGGTGAAATCATTACCTTGAACTGACACAGTGTTGGGAGGACATAATAAGTAATATCATGGATGGTGTTAACCCTTTACTCTGGGGGATGGGGGGGTGTGAAGTAAAATTGAGGAAAACAAATACATGAACTGATGGTATCCCAAGGGTATCTGGTTCCTGATGCTTACATGGTGAAGCGTGAGTGGTGTTGACAGTTGTACTGCAAATCAGAGCCTGCCAGTTCTGGAGGAGTCTTTTCCTTACTGGCTTAACTGGTTTAATATGCCTTTTGCCTTTAATTTTGGAGTCTGAGAAAATCTTATTCTCATCCACTGTAATGCAACATCACTGAGTAGTGCAAGATCCAACTCTGTTATGGAAAAGGTGGTTTGACTTGCGATGTATCCTTGGTGGACAAAGCATCCTGGTGCATCCTGAGACACTTGATGCTAGAAATTGACTGGGAATTCTAAGCCTTTAGTCATTTTATATCTTGGTTTACTTGCATCACTGAAACAAGCATCTGTACTAGGTGATGTGAACCGAGGTGTGTATGTTTTGTACTTAAAGTGGTTCTTTATTTCCATGCTTGTATATGTGTGTTTGTTTCTTCCCCTTCTGAAACTCACAGAAGAATGGGAGAGGGGAGGAGAGGACTGCAAACAAAAAAACCAGCAACAATTTCAGAGTAGCTGAAGCTGTGACTTTTTCCATAGTATTTTCACTCACACACTCAACTTCACCTGCAGTTAAAAATCTCAGTGTGCCTCACTTTGCCTGATGATCAAGCAGCATTAACACAGACCCTTTAACTCTTTATGGGTAACAACTGGAAGCAGCACCATATTGACTAAAAATAGGTTTAAACCAGTCCTGCTTTTGATTCTCTGATGTCTTTAAGAATCTGTGTAGCTGTGTGAGTGTAATAGTGACAGTATATGATTTAATTTCCCAATTTAAACTTCACAGCTGAAATGGCTGTAATTTCATGGGGAGCTTTGAATGAAAATCCAGCATTCTCATCTCTCTGTAATTCAGGAGAAAATGAAGATCGTGGCTTTGTCATAAATGATCTCTGGGATCATATTTATTGATAAGAAGGATGAAAAGGGAGCTCAGGTGGGAGTAAATGGATGCATGCAGCAGTAGTTTGTCTTGGTGCAAGCTGAAGCAGTTGAGGACTTGCTGTCATGTAGTCATAGGTGGGAGGCAGCAGTAGTGGTCCTGTCCTACTGATGACAGCGCTATTAAAGATAAATTTGGGCTTTTGTCTCTGGGTCAAATATTACAAGAGTTGCTTTGTTTCCTGACACTGCTTGTTTAGCTGAGTGTTGTCTTTACAGAACTGCCTGGGCCAACGGGAGAATTAATTTAATGTTGTCTAATCAGTTCTGGTGAAAGATAAGCGCACATCTTGAGCTTACAATACAGCCAGCACCGTCCTACATCCTTGTGAATTTTGCATCTTACCAGTTGGGGTGTGTATTCTCAAGACAGGTGTCAGAGGGTGACTTTGCCTGTCACTTTGAGAGCAGTGAGTCATCTGAGGCACTCCTGAATGCTGAGGTGCCCTCGTGTATCTTGTCTGTCCTCCAGCTGCCCCTCAGGAGAGGGGTGCGTCTTCCGTATGTTGCTGTCACATCTGGTGCCTGGTGATGTGACAGCTTCCTCTTCTCTAAAGGCTTGGTGAAAAACTGACACTTTCTACCCAGCTGAGTCTTTAAGGTGCTTTCTCTTACTTAGCAAATGTCGTGTGTCCAGCAGTGTGTTACCTTAGAACTTCCCTGTGTGAGAACACACAAACATTCCTCGCTGAGGCATGGGAACTAAATCTTGCAGCTATACCAAGAACTGATGTAAAACAATGCATTGCCCAGGTATGCAACACCCTTAGGGATATCATCTGTGTGATGATGACTGATGTGTACTGCCCAAGTTACAAAATATGAGAGAAATCATCTTGCTTGCTTCAAGTGCTGTGGAGAGAGCTCATTACAAGCTGTGATAGAAATTCTAGTGCAAGGGCATGATCAACAGTGTTTTACCAGAGGAAGGAGCAATTTGACTTTTATCAGAGAAGGGTTTCAGGCTTTTACTTTTGTAACTCTGATAAAAGAAGTGATATTTGAAATGACTAAATCACAGTTGCAGGCACCATGTCCGATAACGAAGGCATAAAGCGCTTACGGGAATGCCATTTTTATTTGCAGTCTCTGAATATGTTATTGTTGGGAAAACTATTCACTGCTTGAATAATCAATGCAGTTTTTAGCAAGCAGTGCATGAGGAATACTTTAAGCCTCTTGAAAAAGAGAAGCAGTTAGTTATTTTCATTCCCGGTGTTCTGCTGCAAATGATTTTCTTTCCCAGTTGAAGGTAGTCAGTTTTAGATGCTGCAGTGCTGTCTTGATTAACAGTCCCTTGGAAGTGTTCTCTGAAAGCCTAACACAGTAGAAATTTAAACATTTTGATACATACTTAAGATATTATTTAAAGTGTTATCATTATTTAAATTATTCAGAAGAGTCAACACTTTCCTGTACTGCCACCAGTGCAGAAATTAATGCAGTTCCAGTGATTTTGAGGTGATCCCAGCATTTTAGCTTTTAACCCAGCACGGGGAAAACTGAGAGAGTGAGGTTTCAATAACCTTGATTGAACCTCACTGAAGTGGACTTTTATTCTTTGTGTTTGTCTGTCAGTCATATAATCTCCAAACAGCCACATTTTTGTCAGCTGGATTGTAACAAACATTTAAGCTAGTATATTCCTTTAAAATCTTCTGTTACTCTGTGTTATGTCTGAACACAAATGTGAAAATTCCCTTGAAATGGTTTTAATGTATTTGTTTGACCCAGCTGGCTTTTTGCCTATCTCAGTCTTATTTTAATTTCACTGTATTTACTATGATGTAGTAGCATAATTATTTTTTTTCCTCAAAACTTACCATGTCTTCCTTGTAATGAAATTTGGCACTTTTTTCTCAGTTTTTCCATAAGAGGCTTTGAACTAACAGACACTTGAGAATGGGGCTGTATCTATTTCTTCTTGCTGCAGGTGAAGCCAGTTCTACCCAAATGGATTGAATATTAAGTGAAATGTGCATGCATTGTTCTGAAATAATTACCTTATTTCACAGTAAATTTCATTTTCCATGTGTAAAGGCCTGTTAATGTTTGTAATTTGAAAACATAAGTTATATAATTTAAATTATTGAAAGATCTGGAGAAAGTTTCTAGTAATTGTCAAAGTAGTTGGGAATGGCTGCTATAGATTTGTAAATAAAACTATGGGTTTCAATACTAAGAAGAGGCATAATGTGAAGAACACTCATTATTCTGCCAAGTACAAGGACTCAGGATTAAATCCCATTCAAACACAGTAAGGATGGTGGATGGATCTCAGGTGTGCTGATGGCAGAATTCCATTGAAGTTGGTAGCTCTTCAGTTGGCCCTGGTATTGTAAACAGTTTATTTCTTTTTCTTTTTCCCCTAAGCAAATCTGTTTTAAATACTTCTGTGAATGAGGGTTGACTTCCTTGCTTAACAGTCTCTTAACCTTGATGGAGGTTTGAATTTCAAGGCACTTGAAGGTCTCATCATTTCAGAAAATGGGAAGCATTTGTGTAGTGAGTTACAATTCAGGGCAAGCACAAGAGCCCTGAAGGGATATTATATTGTTGATAACAGTGACACTCAGAGACCCTGTGCATGGTGGCATCAGAAGCTTCAGGGAAACTGAAGTTCTGTTCTGTTTTTACTTTTGATACGTAGATGCTTTTTGACTAGCTTTTACCTATTATTCATTTGAAAATATCATGGTGTTGCTTGTTCATATAAAAACTTTGTGGCTGTTTTTCTGTGGCCTCCAAGTCTCCAAAGTGTGTGCTGTGTGCCTCAGAGCAGGTGTTTCTATTCCAGCCAACTGTGTCTAATGGAAAAAAAACTTTTGCTTCCCATTTCTGGAAATGCACATGTCACTTGTCCAGCTCAACAGGCTCAACCTGCAGGCATTATGTAGACTTTTGCTTTTAGCTACTTTTGTATAGTTTAAGTGTTTACTTCTTGTGTGGTTGTCTTCAAAAGGTGAGTTAGGGTTTTTTTGCAGCCTTTTCTCCTGGGAGTTCAGCTCAAGGCACAGTGAGTGGTAGTCCGTGCTCTTTGGCAGTGTGGTTGCTGGGAAGAAAGTGAGAAGACTTCTGTAAAAAAAAAAACCAAACCAACAAGCATCTGGGAATTTGAGAGTTCTCTCCCATTTGGGGTGTTCCCTTTGTTCTTTGAATAGTTGGGCACCAGCTGGTTACCCTGGGATGCTGGGACTTCAGTGGAGGAGTACTGCATTTCAGGGAAATCCCTGTAATGCAGATATAATTCAAGTGTATTTAATTTAAGTCTGGTCTTTTTCAAACTGTAAGAAATAGCCTATGGCAAAAGTTTGAGTTGGTTTTTTAGCTTTGTTTTTTGTTTCTTTGCTTGTTTTCGGTTTTCCCCCAGCTTCAGCACTCGGACTTGAACTCATTTCCTTAGTGAAACAGGAACTTAAACATTTCATTAACAAGTTTGGCTCTTCTGTTTGTTATTTGTAGCAGGAGTCCCTTCTAACATAGTGAAGCAAAAATGTAAAACCGACTCTTTGGTCACATTCACCATTTGCCATGTGCAGAGTAGGTAGGATTTGAGCTTGCCTTTGGTTTTATCTCACAACAGAAGTTTAAGCCCACTGCGTGAAGGATATAAATTTGATAGAGTGGGTCTGGTGCTGTATGTGCAGCACATTCTGTACTGGGTGTAGTGAGAAACTGATGGGATGCTGAGTTAGTAAAATATTGATTCTGTTTCATGAGGCATTTCCTTAGGCATCACTGATGCCAAGGAAGGAGCAGGGGGAATTTTATTTTATAAATTGCAGTTGATACAGCATATGAAGATGTCTTGTCTTGCTCTTCTTGATGCCCTGGAAAAGTAGATACTGGATGAAAAACAGACATGCAGCCCAGTGCACCTTCAGCCATGCATTTCCTACTGACCATGCTAAGATTTCATTCGAGGAGCTTGAAACTGGGCTGCATGGTGTGTTTTTATTCTGGTTTAAGCCAGACCTGTGTGCACATCCATCGTGTTGCTGGTGTTGAATATGTGCTTGAAAAGTGCTTAATTTCCAACCATTGCTGTTTGTCCTCTCCTTTCCTTTGTGGAGCCACAGAAAAAGGGATTTTTGGGCAACTAGAATTGGCAAGACCAGTAACAAACCAGTTCCTTCTTGTAAGGTAGAGTGGCTTCTAGCCTGGTAAAAGTTTTCATTGTTTCTTGTTCCCTTCATGGAAGGTAGGATTAAGGTTTTGGAGTTTTCTGTTTGTTTTCTGTTTTCTGTGCTGTTACTGCTTAAGGTGTCCATAGCATCTTAAAGCTTGACTGAAAATTGGATCAGATAGTTCTTAGGCTGTTTTGGGTTTATGGATTATATCTGAGTAAGGTATAAATAATGGTCTAGTAAGGACAATAACCCTGACTGTTGCTGAAATGAATAGCTGATACTGAACTATAAGAGTGTAAGGGAACTGTGGAAATACGGGCAGAGAAAATTATCTCAGGGTGAAAAAACAGGTAAATGAGAAGTAGATTGGGAAGGGCATTAATTTTTTTGCAGAATTGTTTATATGACTTTCTAAGATGGCTAGGACTTGAGAATGGGTAATGGAGAATGACTAATAGGTTAAGAATTGAATATGGATTTTGGAAAGCTGTGGCAGCAATATAAGTTGAAGTTGCATAAACACAATAGGAATATGTACAACTTAGAAAATGCAGGTGGGAAATTGCATTTGTTGTGCACAGTGGCGCTATCATAACTTGGTAATCAACAGAGAGGGAGACTTGGAGAACAGAAGGATGTTGAAGAGGTTGAATTTTTCCTCTTTTGCCTCCTCCTCTATATATCTCACTTGACAGGATGATGCATTAAATGCTGAAATGTACACACAGAGTGATATATAAACGAGCTTAAGGAATGCGTTTGCAGCAGCAGAAAAGGCAAACTTTTAAACAGGTAACACTCAGACTTTCACAAACTGGAGAGTAATCTGCCAAAATGAAAAAAATAATAAATGGCTCTGTAACTTGGCATGTTTGACAACAGATGATGGAAGACTTGGTCAAAAGTGAAATAGGAGTAAGTGTCAGACTGGTTACAGGGCGAGTGAATACGTCCTTAGAAATCTTGGCTTTGCAGATGGTTACAATAAAGAACAGCTGTGCAGAGCTGCATTTGACAAATGGCTTAAATAGGTGACTCAGCAGGTTAGATGTTATAATGAATCTAAGAATCTTGGTCTGTTATTTTTAGTAATGGAGTCTAGTGTTAATAACTGTTGCATGTTTTACTGATTATTGCAGGTGCCTTTGCTTGCAAGATGGTGCCGTTTGTTCAGTCCACTGCTATTGTAACTGAGATTCTTACAATGACCTGCATTGCTGTAGAAAGACACCAGGGAATTGTGCATCCCCTAAAAATGAAGTGGCAGTACACCAATAAAAGAGCTTTCACGATGCTTGGTAAGATTTTAAGCATCTCCAATAATTGTGTGTGGGAAGTGATCTTCAGTGAGGATGGCGTGGTATCCACAGATATGACCAGTGATTCAGAGGCAGAGTTAATTGACCTTTATAAAATAGCTCAAGGGTAGTGCCTACAAGTAAAGCATTCACTAGCCAAAACTCTCACAAGGGACTTAGGATCTGAAGTCAAAAATGTACTTAACAATGATAAACCTTTAGCAGCCATTTCTTTTTCCTTTTTTCAAGAAAAGTTCAAAATGTACAAACACTGCTTAAGAAATGTCACAGGGAAATGATCCTTCCATTGTTACACAAAGAGATTTACTTAATGCTCCTTATGCAGACTAAGTGCTTTTCCTGTGGAATATCCATACATTGTGGTAGTTTGAGAGACAAAGTTGATGTCAAAAGAGCATGCTGTTATTGATGTGAGTGTTGACTGATGAATGCCTCATAGAAAACTTTGTTCTTTGCTGCAGTTTTCTACCTTGTCTGACTTTTCAAAGCTGTTGAACTGTTCATACCAAATCCTGCTTGTTGGACCAAGTGTGAAAAAATGTATTTGTTCACAGGCATAGTCTGGTTGCTGGCTCTCATTGTTGGGTCGCCCATGTGGTACGTGCAAAGGCTTGAGGTAGGTTAGGTCAAATGGGGATTTGCTTATTAAACTCAGTCCTTGCTGGATCTTCCTATACCTTTAGGTGAAATTGAATCAACTCCTATGAAATTAGAGGGGGATAAGGGAGGTGGAGCTTTAGTTATGTGTGCCAGCCTGGGGAAGGTTAAGGGTTAGAACTTGCATGCACTGTGGAAGAGGGAATACAAGCAGGGACTTGTCATGCCTATTCTCCCTAATTAAGTCCAAGAACAGAAATCTGTGGCTTCCACTCTGGCTTTCCTTTGGTTTATAGGCGCCTGGCACACAGAAATAGAGGGCTTAGATTGCTGTTTCAGGATGCCACAGTGCTCCCCAAGATCTGGAAAAACTGTGCTTAGTTTAGAATTAATTAGCTGCTCATTATAGTTGATGAGTTACCGCACACGTTTGGAGGTTAGGCAGGAGGCTTGGCAGAATCTGCTGCTTGTGAGTCTGAATGTCAATAATTTTCTTGGTTTTTAAACTGGCTAAGTGTGAGGTTTCTATACATCCATCTTTACTTGCAAAATGTGTAGCCAAGGTCTCCTTGAAGTGCAAATCAGAGCATCTCCCAGCCTCTCTTTGTCAATTTGGATCAAACCCTGTATTTCATGTGGACAAGTGCTTGGAAGAATTTTGTCACACTCAAGAAAAAAATCTGTTGAATTTTGGTTCCATTAAAAACGGAATATCTGAATGTGTTTGGGTTTTACACTTGGGATAAACACCTTAGTGACTCATCTTCTTTACATTTGTTACAGGTTAAATATGACTTCCTGTATGAAAAAGTGCATGTTTCTTGCTTGGAAGAATGGGCCAGTCCCATTTATCAGAAGATCTATACAACCTTTATTCTTGTTATACTCTTCCTTCTTCCACTGATGCTGATGCTTTTTTTGTACACTAAAATTGGCTATGAACTCTGGATTAAGAAACGAGTGGGAGATGCTTCAGTTCTTCAAACCATTCATGGGAGTGAAATGTCTAAAATATCAAGGTTTGTAAGCAAAATGCACTTGGAAATTTGACTTGTAGAAAGCTTTTTTCCTGACTTTTTTATTCTTCTTGAATAGTTGAAAATGGCTTGCAAGGCATACTAATGTCATGCTGCAAAGTGCTCTGCTGTCCCAAAAAAGAGAAATAAATTGCTAGTTTATATGATGATGCGTTTTTTTCTTTCCAAGAGGATTGTGTACTTCTGAGCTTTCCTTGAGGGTTTTATTTGAATCTGCAGCCATCAGAACACAGTCACAGATCTAACATGAAGAGAGATATGTAACTGCCAGCCAGTTCCCAGTGATTCAGTGTGGAATTCTTGGTGCAATTTCAGGAAGAAGAAGCGAGCAATTGTTATGATGGTGACAGTGGTGTTTCTCTTTGCAGTCTGTTGGGCCCCTTTCCATGTGATTCACATGATGATGGAGTACAGTGAGTACCTGCCGTGTCTCGTAGAATAAAGTCGGGATTTTGGGGTTTTTTTAAGTAATGGAACTTGATATTGTGAAAAGCTAATGATGCTACAGCGTTCAGCTCTAGAATACCTTCTGCAAGGAAAGGTTGATGTTCTGCTTATTAAAAAAAAGGAAAAACAGGAGTATTAGAGGAGTGAGCAGCTCTGTGTAGATTTTTTCCTTACCGTGTCTGCTATGCTGCCCTCATTTGCTGAAAGGTTAAAAAGGACTTGGCTGGAAGGTAAAAGTTATTTCTGAGCATAAAATGTCTTGAAGTTTTAAATGACATTTAATTTAACTGTTTTGAGTTAAACTTAAAAGGAAACATTACTTTTATTGAGGTAGGCATATTGGAAATATAAATACTGGACATCACAGTGATGGTACCCAAAGAATACAGCTAGAGTTTTTTGGTGCTCTTTACTGCAAACTGTCTTGAAATGCCCTCAATGCTTGTTCTTTTGGCTTTTTTTGCTGTTTGCCTTTTCCTCTGGGGTCTTGCACTGTTCATCTCCCACTTCCTCCATGGATACTGGAGCAGCCTATGTGCAGGAACAAGAGGAAATTTTTAGTAGTTGTACTCTACTTGCTAAAGGCAGGAGCTGTTTCTTTGTCTCCCATCACAAATAAGATTGTAGCAGATAAATCAATAGTTCAGCCAGTCAGCTTTTTTGCTCATAAATTTTCTTTCTTTTGATTCTGTTACTACCTGCATACAAAGCAGGACTGTGTGATAGTTCTTGATTTTATCTTGTTGATGAAACTCAATTGCTAATGTTAAGAAGCTCCAGCATAGGTTTTTTTTTCATTTTACAGAAAAACATCTAATGCCAAACTGGATATAAACAGGCTAAGTAGTAAGCATTTATGACATTCTGTACTTACAGCATATTTCTCTTTTCCTGTCCAGGTAATTTTGAGGAGGAGTATGATGATGTGACAATCAAAATGATTTTTGCAATTGTCCAGATCATAGGATTCTTCAATTCCATTTGCAACCCTATTGTGTATGCTTTCATGAATGAGAACTTCAAGAAAAATTTTCTGTCTGCCCTCTGCTTCTGCATTGTGAAAGACAACACATCCCCAAGCAGGCAGCTTGGGAACTCAGGAATTACCATGAGGAGGCAAAAGCCAGGTGCATCTCAGAAAGATCCCATGGATTCGGACGAAGGCAGGAGGGAGGCATTCAGTGATGGCAACATCGAGGTCAAGTTCTGTGATCAGCCAGCTTCCAAAAGGAATTTGAAAAGGCACCTGGTCCTGTTCAGCTCTGAACTTACTGTGCACTCTGCAGTAGGAAATGGACAGTAGCATCACAAGGGGTTTGGGAATGGAGAAGTCATTCTCTTTATGAACATTTCAATAAGCCATTTAAAAGAGTTTGCTGCTTTGCATGCTGAAATGAGGGGGGAAAATTATGTGTGGATTCTAGTAATGTTGGCATAGTGGCTGAGAAAATGTAATGCTTATTTTATGACAAGAAGTAAAACTTTGGAAAACAACATTGTGTGATTTCCAGGAGAAAAAAATAATTTATTCCTGACCTAATTTAGGGCTTATTTGTGCTCTGCTTTAGGTAAACAAAACAACTGCTGTTTGCTCCATTTATTGTGTGTCTGGACTGTACACAGCTGAATGCCAGAAGACAGGAATTATGGAGAGAATGTGCACCTTTTTGGGACAATTTGGAAGTCTGACATGAGGATGACATTGTAAGATCTACTTTCTGCAGCTTTGAGGACAGAGCAGCTTCAGATCTGAGTTCAGGAAAGATGGAGATTGAGATGCAATTTTATTTCAGAAAAAAAAAGGGAATATGAAAGAGTTATCCAGAATATGACTCTGAAAAGATTTAAACACCACATGCATGTTCATATTTCGTTAACAGAAAGCATATTAGTAATTAGCAATGCATGCATAATTACTCTGCTATTTTTTACAGATTTATTCTTGGGTACAAATTTAGATGCCATTGTACTGTCCTGCAAACTGCATTGTTCTTCTGAAAAAATGAAGAAGCTGATAAAGTGCTGTGCAAGAAAGTGCAGATGCAGGAGGTGTGGTCTGTAAACACTGAATTGAACTTCCGGTCATGCTTGGACATGTGACTCTCAGGTTGAAAGGGTGGTGTTTGCTGTCTGAGAACTGGGCCAGTGCTTTGTTATTTTAGACTTCACTGTAAATTGTGGGGTTGATATCCATAGGAATTCTAAATGTTTTTGCTCTCAGTGGGCCAAACTGCAAAATTGCAAAAGTATGTTTGCAAGTGTGGGACTGGGGGAGAAGTGTGATCTGAACTGGTACACTGGGATCCCATAAATGAGGCCTTGAAATACAGAATTTGCCACTCCAGCTGAGGTTAGGTTGGATCCTTTAACAGCCTGTAAAATGTCAGTGCTCTCTTCTGTCACTCCTTGCCTCACCTATGGGACCTTGATGCTGCCTTGGCAGTCAATTTAAGATTCTTTTACATTGCTACTTTACACTTCATTGTAAATGACAACTTAGGGTAAAATATCCTTGTATAATTTGGACGTAATCTGATTCTTCTCTAATGTCTACAGATTGCAATGGGTTTGTGACACACTTTATTTACATGTGGTTTTTTTATATTCTATATGATACACTCTTGGGCAGTGACAGAAAGCTCCTGACTTGTCCTGAGGGCAGGAATCAAGAGCTTATTATCATAGTTTTCCTCAGCAGATGGAAAGTTTAACTGCCTGATGGTGAGAACTATGTGTTTGGATAGAATCTGTGACTGAAAACTAATTTATTTTAAGCTATTGATTCATTTGCACTGCTAATTTCAGTGACAGATTTTAACAGACATTTAACCAGAACTTCCAAGTATCTTTGTCTTTGTTTTGTCTTCCCTGCTTCTGTTGTCTCATAAAACGTTGTGTCAATGAATAACTGCTGTAGTATTCATTTTGTTTTCATTAAAGTTCCTTTATGGCTTTGTTGGTGCTGTTTTGCACTAGGGGATATCTGCTGTAGACTTCACTTTGAGTCTCTCTTTGTTTAAAGATTCATGTGAGCTTATCTGTGCCTCTTTAGTGTTGCAATTCCAGTCCTGTTACAGGTGCCAGCTGCTCCTGTAATCCTGAGAGCTGTGATTTAAAGGACTTCACAGAGTAAGGTGAGAAAGTGGAAGTCCAGTCTCTTTGTAGAGGAGAAGTGATAAATATTTCAGCACAGATGTGTGGGGCTATGGTTAGATTAAATATAAACCAAAATACAAAAGACAGTTCTTATACCGTTCCTAATGGTAATTATATTATTTGTGCATTTTTGACAGAGTAGTTGTCTTGAAGCCAGGTAATCTTGTCCTGACTGCAGGGAATAAAAGATCCATTATTGGCATAAGCACCACCAGGATTTTGCCCATGTTTTTTAAACCTGCCAGAGCTTCAGCTTTGATTTAGCCAACAAAACCAGTGGTGCTGTTGAAGTGTGTCAGTTTTGAGTCCAGGCTGGTTAGCCTATCCCTTGCAGTGGCTTCTACCCTGAGTGTGGCTGTGAGTGCTTCAAACCAGGAGAAGCCCTGCTGTCCCTCAGCCTGCCTGTGCTTATTTCCATCTTCCAGTGACAGAATTGCATGGTTCATCTGATGACAAAAATATTCCTGGCTAATGAATTTATCAGAGAACATAAAAAATAACCACGCTCATTTCCCTAAACAGAATATCTATCAAAGCTGTCATGTTCTTTATGGGAAAATGTTTCTTCAAGTTTTTTATGATGTTAGTTAGCAATTACTTATGTCTTTGATAAAATTAAAGAGGAACTTCTTTTATTCTCAGCTGCAAGGGGCTAAGCCTTTAAGTTGCAGTGAGATGATGCCAGGGATTGACAGGCTGATGAAGACAGGAGCCTGAAAGGACACATTCAACTGAACAGAGACTCTGGAAACTGAATGGATGAGGAAGACATGTCAGAAGTGTCAGCTTGTTCAACTTATACCAGAGTATTAACAAGGAAAACAGTGAGTAGAAGGGAGTAAACCTTCTCAGTAATTGTAACAGTAGCAATTAAAAAAAAATCCAATGTCAGTGTGTTCCAAGGAATTACCAATTGCCAATGATGGCCAAAGTAGCAGAGATGTGTGATGTGCCTGCATCCAGGGAGTAAGTACATAAATTCTCAGCCTGGAGATGTGTTAGCCCTGTGTGCTGATGACAGGATTAGCTCATGTGCTGCTGGCAGAGTCTTGGGGCATGGCAGAAGCCATTGAAACAAGTGATCCAGCAGAGTGAAAGGGACACCTTAGAGATCAGAGAAATACATTGCAGAGGACATCTAGATGATTATTTCTCAGGGGAGAAAAAAAAAAGTAGAGAAAAGGATTTAGTAGAGCTGTTGACTTGGAGAGATGGGAGAGCAAGATAATCATGGCAAGATATATTTTTGTATCAATTAGAGTTGATCGGAGTGTTAGCAAAGTTGGGAGAGTTTAGGAACTGTATTCAGAGAGCAGATCTGTGAACAGAACAGCATCTCAGTGCACAGGGAAAAAGGCTGGGAAGAGAGGAAGCTGCCCTTTTGGTGCCTCTCCAGGTGGGAGCAGTGGAAGGGACCAGGAGCTTCGCCAGCCTGAGGAGGGGACAGGTAAATGTGGATTTAATACACACTAAAGAGGTTAGGTTGGGTAAAGCCCTTCAGAAACAATGACATAACAATCTCTTTATTTCTGTTTTTACTCCAAGTCCTGCTTTACCCCTCAAAATTGGCTTCCAGGAGTACTGCTGGACATTCATGCCATCATTAACTTCCTCTGTTGAAGCTCCAGTGAAGCTGATGGATTATGAAGTTATTTTAACTGCTCTGGTGTGGTTTGAGATGAAGGGTGACGTGCTGGTTTATTATGAGAGTTTAATCTTCCCCCAACTCCTCGTCCACATAAGTACAACAAAACCTGCTCAGTCAAAAGCAGTAAAACCTGGTTCCTTTCATTCCAAAAAATACAGACTCACAGTCCTACAAGTTAGGCTCACAATGTTTGTTTTGCTACAAAAGTGCTGTCCTACAAGCCAGGGATGTTTTTGAGGTTTAAGGGTATTTGTATGTATTAATGCTTTCATAAAAGAAGAAATCTAGTAGAGATACAAACAAACTTCTACAAATTGCATCTCTGCCCTGTAGGGTGCTTAAAATGCCAACCAAGACTTGAAAAGATGTCTTGCTGCCTGAAAAAGGTTGGATTTTGTTTCTCAGCCTCCTGTGGAGTAATACAAAGCTTTCTATGAAAAGCCCTTATTTCCTTGCATTTTCCTTTTTTTTTTTTTTCCCCCCACAAAGCTGAAACTTCCGCTAATTTCCTATTCTTTGGAGAAATAATCATAAAACCTTCTCCCCAAACATATTGTGGAATATATTTAGTTTATGATAGGGACCCTGTCCTAAAATGACATGTGCTTGCATTGAAAAGCTTTTTTACATTAGCACTTGTTAGAGGAAAATGTTTTTATTTTTTTAAGTTTCTGTTGAAATCTCTTTACAGCCTTCTAGTTTTCATTTGCTCTTTCCAATGCCATCACTAATTTTTTCGAAGTTAATTTCACCAGGGTTTCTCAGGACTCACTCTCCTCAGGTGAATTTATGGTTCCCTTGCACATGGTCCTTTTTTTCTCTATCTCTAATCTTTTCCATGCTTTGTTAAGTTGTATGGTTTTACACCATGTTTCCCCATGCTCCTGAGCAAAGCCTTAATTAATTGATTTAAAATTTATGGCACAGTCTCCATAAATCTCTTGTTACATCTTGGAAATGCATAAGAAAACTTTCAGGCTTTTTCAGTGCTCTGGGATCTGATTTGTAAATCCATTTCATTTTCCCATCTGAAATAGGCATCCTTGCTATTTGCATTTATGCCACCTTGATAAATATTCTAATGTATGGACACAGAACTGCTGCAGCATAAGGGATAGTTCTCCTGTGGTATCACAGGTGCAATATTTTAATTTCATTTTCTGCCTCAACAGTTTGCTCAAGCAAAAATTAGTCAGGGTTGAACTGTATTTTCCAGTGTTGACAAATAAATTCTTCACTGACTTAATAAAGCAGAAGTGCACTTACTTACAGATCCATCACACTGGAGGGGAAAAAAATTTCAAATATTTTAGAAAAAAAATCCTAAACAATCTTTCTACTTGAAAAAGGTCAGTATGTTTGGGATTTTAAAAAAAATTTCTTCTTAATTTCTTTTTAAGGTGTCTTTCCCTAGTGTCCAGATTCTGCTGTGCAGGGTGAGGTGAAGCTGCTGCCTGGAGTGTGTGGGAAGAGGCTGAATTATACTTCTCAACTTGTATCAGGGCTGCTCTGCTTGTTGGCATCCCTGGGACCCTTCTGCTTTCATGGTGTTACTGAACTCTGCACATGTGTTTGCTGAAGATCCCTCTTTTCCTAAAAACTAATCTTGTTTTAGTAGGAAGCTGAGCTTTGACTTCTGCCATTTGCCTTGCCCCCTTTTTTTTATCTCATTGGTTTGCTTTACTTTTTCACTATTTCCTTTTTTTCTTCCGTTTTGCTTTCCCTGAAGCAATTCTTTGTGACCTTATCTCTTTTATACAGATTAGAATAACCAGGTAATTAATTTTGAAACCAAAGTGAAGCGGCCCTGTGGTTCAGAATGTTTATTCCATCAAGTCTGATTATCAGATTACAAACTGCATTTCCAGTCCTTATTTCAGGCACCCTTGGAAAGACCTTGCCCACAGTACTGGTTACATTAGGCTTGCATGTGTATATTTTATTTCTGAATTGACTTTATATATTGAAATGTTATTTCTCAGGCTGCTTATTGACAAATTTCCATTTTAATATTTCTTTCTTTGACTTTACAAATTTCTAATTCCTAGGAAGTGGAGCTTCTCAGTAATGTGCCAGCTGCACTGGGAGAGTTGGGGTTTTTTTTGCTTGAAATAACAAGCATAGATGTCAGTCTTTATTGTACAGATGACAGCTAAACTATGGCTTTTAAAAAGGTCCAGTAACTTTCTTCTGGTAGCCTGACAACTCTGTGCAGTGTCTTTTGTGTGTGTGTGACAACAGAAATATAATGTTCTTCTGCTTCTTGCCTCTAACACATGGTTTCCATAGAAACATCATCTAAACACCCAATTTAGCTATTAATGAGTTCAGTCCATAACTGAAGACTCTTAAAAACCATGCAGCCTGAGAATCAACAGCTATAAAATATTTAGTGTCTCCACGGGTAAAGTATAAAACATATCCTACTAAATATCAGTATTAAATATCATATTCAAGTTTCATCCTCAGGCAGACTTGAATTTTGGAGGAGCAGCTGTGTGGCAAAAACCCATGGGAAAGCTCTCTGTGGCTCCAGCAGCTCGGTGGGGTGGTTGTGGCCTCGCTTGGGCTGTAGATGGCACCGTCGCTGCACATGAAAAGCTGAGCTCTGCCAGTCCCTCCCTGGGGAGTTATCTTGGTAAGGGTTTGATAGAGTGCTTTCCCTAGGGTTAGGGAGAAACATGGAGAGAGGTGTTGGATTTCTTTTTTATCTTTGTGAAATAGTGCTTTGAAAAACAGTTGGAGCTCATGAATGAACGAGGACCAGTGATATCAACAACCCAGTCAAAATTGGTTTTATTGTATCTCAGATGGTTAAATTTTCATCTAGAAGTCATCCCTTTTGCTTTGCAAACTTGCTTGCCAAAACAAATGAATACCACTCTTAGGTCTCTTGTTTTTGAAGCTGAGCATGTGAAATACAAATTAGTGAGTAGATCTACAAAAAAAAAAAATAGAGATCAAGGTTCTCTGAAATCCTTGAGACAAGTCATTCCCAGATTCCCCTGAGTGTACTAAAAAGCCTGTAGCTGTAGGCGTCCCTCTTCCCAAATCTGGGGATATAGTAGAGGGAAGCCAAAGGGGAAATTACAAGGGAAGAGAAAAAAGTGTTATTTA